TTTGTGTGGCTAGTCCACACAGCCCTTCTGGATCTCTTGGGTACAGTCCCCTTTCCTGTACTGCACTTTAAAAAAAAAAAAAATTCTTTCTCTACAAAGCTGTCTGAGTCCCAGTGTTAAGCCCATGAGAATGTCAAACTGCGATTCCTCCATGGTCTGTGTATCACATTGACTCCTCCCAATAACCCTTTATGGTGTAGACATTTTAGCCTCAATTTTTTGCAGACAACACACAGAGTAACTGAGTAACGCGTCCTGTGATAACACAGCTGATAAATGGAAAAGCAAGGATTCAAATCCACACCAGTCTGAGTCCAGAACCCAAGTACTCGAACATTGTCCTCTGCCATCCTCTCTCATGTTGTAGTGATGGCACCATCAAGGCATGGATACCTAGGGGCAGACAGTCTGAGGTGATCCTCCCCTTCACAGCAAGGATTTTCATAGCTTGATCTTTCCTCGAAGGCAATGTGATCAATTCAGAGGTGTAAAAGCAAAAGCATCTAGTTAGCCTTCCTGCAAAAGTGTACAAGGAACGTGATTTTCTCATGCAAACACGGGAGCTTTTTCAAGCAGCAGTTTTAGCAAATTCGACAATTCCTGTGCTCAATTCCATGTTGCAATAGCTGTCTGAAGCATATGCATAGCCATTCTGTGTTGCCCAATTGTGTCCAGTACGGACGGACTCCAACTCAGGATGGTTTGACTTAAAATTGTTTGACTTTATGATACGTTTAGCTGGACGTCAGTCCACTGGAAGTTGGGGAGCATATGTTCATCCTGTTGCAAATTGGTGACAGAAAGGGTGGGAAGCAGGGAGTGGGGAAAACTTTTCAGGTTAGGGATTTACAGTCATTACCCGATGATCCACATTTAGCTCTGTGGTGGCCAATTTTATGTCTTGTCTTGCCTTTCCAACCAGGGGGAGATACTTCCCCCCCCCCTCCAAATAAGCAAAGATAGAGATTTAGGTAACCTGACTTCATAGAGTGATATAACCCGACTTGGTTTGGTCTGTGGTCAAACTTTATTCTGAATGTTTCTGTGAAGGTGTTTTTGGGTAACATTAACATTTAAATCAACGGATCTGAGTAAGAGAGACTGCCCTCCATAATGGCCTGAATAGAATAAAAAGACTGACTTCCCCCAAGCAAGAGTAAATTCTGTAGCAGACAGCCTTCACACTTGAACTGCAACATCGTTTGTCCCATGGGTCTTCGACCTCATGGACTTTAGCCTTAAAGTGTAATGTCAGCTTGTACCTGAGACTCCAGGCTGCCAGCCCATCCTGCAGATTCAGGACTTGCCGCCTCCATAATCACATGAATCAGTTTCTTAAAATAAATCTCTCTCGATAGATAGATGGATGAACGTTCTCTTGGTTTCATTTCTCTGGAAATCCCTAATACAAGCTTTCTGCACCAAAACATTACTGCAGGGACCTGAGTGTTGTTCACATCCGTAAAATGTCCGGTTATGTATCAGACTTGTTCGTGATATCATTAATCAATACCTTTGCCTTTAATTAGTGACTACACAGTAATGTCAGTATTTTTTCCTGGCTCTTCAGAGATGTCTCTTCACCATTTGATATGACTGTAGACAAAAATATATTCAGTTCAATGGTAAAGCCAAGGACTTAATTACAATTTTGATTACTGAAAAATCACAATCCCTCGAACATTGGTAGAGTCTACGTGGCACATATTAAGCAGAAGATTGAATGAACTTACCCCACTTCTGACCTTGCCAGTTTATTTCACTCCCTTTCATTACCACCTGTATAGGTGACACTCATGTTGGTTAATCTCCATTAAAACAGGGGTTGCTGTAGTAATAAAGCAAGCGTCACCCCTGAGTGAACGGTGATTGTGCCAGGCATTGTTCTAAGTGCTTTACAGGGAACACTTCAATTATCTTTCAGAAGATCTCTTGAGCAAGTGACAATCTTTTGTGGTTCAGTTTCTTCATCCATAAAAATGGAGACAATGGGTCAGTTTCTTCATCCATAAAAATGGAGACAATAATTGTACATATCTTCCTGCAAAGAGGAATCGCAATCATTGTCTCCGTTTTTATGGATGAAGAAACTGAACCACAGAAGATTGTCACTTGCTCAGGTTCAAATAGGTAGAATATTATCAAGGTAATAATCAAACGTATTTCTACACATTTAAGATGCCAAAGCCAAGATATTCTTATTAGGTATGAACGTGCATTGATTAAATTCTAAGAGTGTTTTTAAAACTCACTGGCCTGTACAGTTTCGTGGAAATTTTAAGCCATGATACTACACGAGACCTTTTTGTCCTTTGTAAAGATAAATTAGGCATGAAATTTTATTTGGCTGCTTTTCCTCTTTTCACTTTCAGTATGTTTTCTCTTTCCGACATTTCATCCTTTTCTGTTCTTAGTAATTAACGTCATCTCTGCCTGTGTACACGGACAGAATAAAGGTGTAAAGCCATTGACAAGTGATTTTCAAAGGATGTAGATGCATAACGGAAGACAATCATTTAACTTCAGACTTTTACTTCCCCTATAAATGCAACTGCTACAACGAAGCCCTAGTACTGCCAGTTTTGTAGATAATGGATGAATTCAGGGACCTAAATCTCAATCTTTGCTTATTTGGAAAAAAATATAACCCTGATTGAAAAGACAAGTAAACCCGGTGACTAGAATAGAGTACCCCGATATTAAATAGTTGAGAAACACGGGGCAAAACTACTGAGGATGAGCAACTGCCGTTTTTCCCATCTCGTTTCCGTATGAGTATTCACTTAGTAATTACATGTCTTTCACCTCCTACCATGCACTTCTCATCTGCTCCAACTCAGTTTAACACTTACAGGGTGCGCACCAAGTCTTTAATGAGAAGGACAACTACCAGATGCAACCGACTACGAGTTATTGTTCAACCCCAGGTCACCGGACAACCTTCATGCTTTCCTTTGAGCTGCACTAGTTTGCAAATGAAGAAGTTGCTGAATCTATCATCGACGGATACCATCTTTATCCAATGTGCAAATGACAACACAGAAAGGGGAGCAAATGTGTCGGATGATAGGATCATTATCAGGATTCAGAGACCTGATAATGAGCAACTCTGAGCCTATCTGCAGCCAGGATGCTTTCCCATCTATGAAATTTGGGTCTGAAGGATCTTAGAAGAGTCAGCTGCAGAAGACTTGGAAGTACAGGGGCAGGCACACGACAGCTGACTTCAAATCCTAGAGGATGGATTAACTACCGTCTCCAGGTCTCCAGCACACAATCCCAGGACTATTGGATAGAAATTACAGGGAGGCAGGTTTGGGCACAATGTAAGCAGTATTATCACCGCAAGGGGCTCAGCCACTCTACTGGACAATAGCCTCAGGCAGGAGTTAAGGTATTGGTGACTAACATGGTGACCCCCAAGGCTCAAATCCTCTGGCTACACTAAGCCCTGTGACTGTGTCACTTCATTGGTACTTGATCCAAGTTGACCCACCTACTGTTTTGCTTTAGAAACTTTAAGCTATAGCAGAGAAAACAGCTTCCACACTTCATGTAAACCCACGTGATTATTTACGAACGTGAGCCCTTAGAAAGGGGAAGGTAAGATAATACCTGAGGTTGCAAATAGGTGTGAATGGTATGATCTGTCTTTGTAGGAAGATATGTACATTAATTGATCACAAGTCTGGATGTCTAATACTTCTATTTGGTGGGATTATAGGTGATTCATTTTTATACACGTGGTTAAAGTAGGTTGGGCATGGTGGCTCATGCCTATAATCCCAGCACTTTGGGAGCCCGAGGCAGGCAGATTGCTTCAGCCCAGTTCAAGACCAGCCTGGGCATAGCGAGACCTCACCTCTACTAATAATCAAAAAGATTAGCTGGGTGTGGTGGAACGTGCCTGTTGTCCCAGGTACTGGGGAGGCTGAGGTGGGAGGATTGCTCGAGCCCAGGAGGTCAAGGCTGCAGTGAGCTGTGATTGTACCACTGCACTCCAACCTGGGAGACGGAGCGGAACCCTGTCCCATAAAAATAAAATAATAATTTTTAAAAAGGGATAAAAGTATTGTTTAAAGGCAGGAATTGAAATGCATGCATTTATACGTATTCCTTATCGTATTAGCATAGACTAAGTGTCTTAACAGAAATGTACTTGCTCACAATTCTAGATTCTAGAAATCTCAAGTTGACGTCCAGCAGCAAGGTCAGATTCTGGCGAGGGCTCCCTTCTTGGCACATAGACAGCCACCTTTCTGTGTCCTCACATGTTGGAGACTGGTCTGTCTCTCCTCATATAAAGCCACAGTCCTATTGGACTAAGCCCTAACTGTTATCACTTTATCACCTAAATGACTTCTGAAACAACCTATCTCCAGATACAATCGCACTAGGGATTAGGGCTTCAAAATATGAATCCGGTGGTCACAGGTGACAAAAGTCAGTTCACAGCATTTACGCTCACCATGAATAGCAGAAATGCTTACTTCATAAAACGGCAAATTCTGTTCAGTAGAAAAACTGTATCAGAAGTTCAGTGTTACGGGTCATTAGAAAATGTGATGTGCTTAATATGGCGTTTGTTAGCAAGTGCCTCCTGTCCCTTTCTCCATCCAACTTCAGTGCTGGATATTAACGCCCATTAAGCTGAAAAAGTTTCCAGAAGGCAAGAGAGCCCAGCTTGAACTCCAGCCCTTATTCAGCTTGAACAGATCACATGAGACCCTGTGTTTTCATTTCTTCACTCTGAGATATGGAGGTTAGTCCACATGACCTTCTCTCCCAAGGTTCGGGAACTCTGTGGTTCCAACTCGAAAGAAAGAGCACCTAGCATCCCCAAGTCAGGACTCACTGGACCTGGACAGAATTGATTATTTCCCCCCACGAATAATCTGCTAACAGTTTTCCTTCAACCATGTTGTTTGGCTGACAAGGTAGCCTTATGTACTTTTCATGCCTTAGAATACTACCAGAATGAACTACAAGAGTCACATGAGAATGATTATATTTCTTATTTTATTGCTACATTGGAGGTGAAAATAAACTGTAAGATGTTGCCAAAGGATGCAACTTCATGAAGATTATGAAACAATTGAGGCACCCATTGTAGAAGGTTAAAATTGGCTTATCCTGTATGAGGTGGAAGGACTACACATACAACTGTCATCAATGGCAAGATTATTGACGGCATCTGCCATGTGGAGTTTACATACCAATGGGAAGTTTAGAAAGGAACTTACGGAAACATTCACTACCCCAGACCTCTTAGCCAGGAAATATAGGTGAGAAGAAATCAGAAGATGCCTGAGATCTCTGCAAACACATAGGTTTATCAAAAAAAAAAAAACAAGCCTAAAACCAAGACCGCCAGGAAATGTTGAAATCTGCTCTTGAGAGGAGATCCCCATTTTAGGATGTTCGGACACAGTCTTTCTCCTGCTGGATAGCTAGTGGGGAAAAGAAACAAGAAATTACAAAAGTATTTTCCTAAGTTCAGCTTCTTCCAGAATAACTCTTTGTAAGTCATTGAAGGCTGCCATACATGCTTTAAATTTGGAATGCCAAGGCATTAACCACGAAACTCACAGTGTGGTGGGTGCATGCATGTGTGTGCACGTGAACCACCTGAACTACCAATTAGAAACTACATCAACTGTAGGGTTTGTTTTTCCAAATGCTGTTGCCATTTTTTTTCCAGATTACTCAAGACTGAGGAGTAATCGGAGAACTTTCTTCAGATCTATTTATCGCTATATACTTAGGAAAGTATACACTTTCAGATAACTTTAACTAATGTTGCAACTTTCAAATAAAACTGACCTAACAAAAGGGGCCTCTCACTCAGGTGTTGTGAATAGGCTTAGAGTTTCTCCATCAGGTTGTAACTCCAAAGGGCAGAATCGATCCCTTGAATCTGAGAGATTTGAGTATACCCAGAAGTAAATTTGTTATCTCACCTTATCTTGTCATCATATATAGAAGGCCAAAACTGCAGATTCTACAGGGTTCTTTAAGGATAACATTATGGACGAAAATTTCTAAATGTAGAAAAATACCAAATACCCAAAAGTAGACAAAATGTAAGTGTCTTTTAGTGCTACATCCAATAGTCCAAGATTGGTTTTAATGTGGTTTTTAATCATTTTCAAACAAGAAACTAGTTTTTTATTGCCCCATCACTACTAGGCCCATCATGGGAGAACCAGAAGAAAACTATTTGATAGTTTTACCCATTGCATTAAATACCATGGTGCTCTAATTATTGCTTACTTTGTGGCAAAAATTTACTAGAAGATTTACCAAACCTATTAACTTTCTCTAATGAATGTTTATTTCCACTAGAACCCCCGCCCCCCCCACCCCCCCCGGCCCCACCATGACTTACTTTCCTTTGAGGGAAGAGTATTTTTTTCTTCAGTATTAGTTTTCTTCAGTTTTGACCTGTCAAACTTCTCCACTTCTGACAAGTCTGGTTTATCACTCATCTTGACTAGAAGATAGACTGAAAAGAAAAAAATGTGTTATCTTTATTTTTTTGAGACAGGGTCTCACTCTCTCGCCCAGGCTGGCGTGTGGTGGCACAATACCAGCTCACTACAACCTCTGCCTCCTGGGTTCAAGCAATTCCTCTGCCTCAGCGTCCCAAGTAGCTGTGATTACAAACAAGCATGCACCACCATGCCCAGCTAATTTTTGTATTTTTAGTAGAGACAGGGGGTCTCACCATGTTGGCCAGGCTAGTCTCAAACTCCTGGCCTGAAGTGATCAGCCCGCCTCGGCCTCCCAAAGTGCTGGGATTACAGGAGTGAGCCACTGCGCCCCACCAGAAAAAAATATTTTTTAAGAAAACTTACCTGGCAGAACTATCTTCGGACTAAGGGGTCACAAGCAAAAGTTTTCACATTTCATATCAATGTATATTCTACCCACTGATTTTCAACAGAAAAACAGCAACAGATCTTGGAAAAGTTATATTTTTGTTAGAATAATCTTCCATTCCACATCAGTAGCCCATTTTTGGTAGGCAGTAAATGCCATTGGATCAGAATGCACCAGAAACCAAGATGTTCTAGAAACCCAGAGCCAATATGTCTGACTCTTAAATCACAGCAACGGTAAAATGGAGGTGAGAGAAGCACAAGATCAGACAGAGATAGAAGCAAAAATAAAGACCGGCTTTAACCAGTTAACGATTTTATAGCAGCAGATAGCACTATTCGAGCATCTTCACATTCTATTACATTACTTTGGATCTTTGGTATTTTTCCTAGGAGACGGGGAGCAGCACAGACGAACATTAAGACACTACAATAGACGTCTCATCATAGCTCCTCGTGGCATTGGTTTGCACACGTTGTAAGAAGGAACAGCTAACTAGGATGAGACGACCCAGGACTCGAGCAAAATGGAATAAACCAAACCTAAGTGTGTCTTCCTTCACCATCGTTTCTCTGCAGAGAGAGACGCAAAGAGAGGAGGCTCAGGGGTGCATGGCTGTGGACCTGACGGAATGCCTGGCGCCCTGTGAGCGTCCCGAGTTTGTCCAGAAGAGACCAGAGGATATCCCAGAAATCGCAAGGCAGAGCCCTGGTGGGCGAGCCCGGCCCCACCGTGGGGGAGTACGACACTTGGCCTGGTGCCTCGGGTAGAATGGAGAGGCCCCCAAGCAGCCAGAAGTGCCGAACGTGCCTCCATTCCGTCGAGGTGACCCAGGCGAGCGACCAGACTCCAAGCTGGGCGCTGGGAAGTGGAACTAGCCCATAAATAACAGCAGGGCCGGGCGCAGAGGCCAGGCTGCCAGGAGCAGCCGGCACACTTTTCCAGGGAACGATGAGCGTTGCCGGGCGCCCAGCCCGACGGCCGTGGGAGGAGAGGGAACGAGGGCCCAGCCCCAGAGGGCCCGTTCCCGGCGGCCCCCGAACTCCTCATCCCCTAAGCCTCAGACCCGCAGCCACCGCGCACGGGCCGCTTTACGGCTTCGCCCCCGCTCCCCACCGCGGGGCCTTGTTTCACACCCCCGGGAGGGCTCGGCATCCCGCGCAGAGGGCGGCGCCCGCCCGGGGGAGGACAAAGGCGCGGACTCGCCGGGCCGGGCGGCGGTGCAGACGCGAAGCGCCAGCCCCAACCCCGGCCGCTCTGGCTCCCGCGGGCGCGGCTTCCCCAGCTCGCGACCCCCACGCCTTCCCGTCCCCGTGGTCCTCGGGCTCCGCGAGGCCGCACGTCCTCACCTGAAGGGTTGAAGACTCGGGAAAGGCCGCCCGCGGGGCTGAGACCGAGGCCGGCTCCGGACCAGGTTCGCGTTCCCGCGCAGAGCCCCGCCGTGCTAAGCCCCGTGGCGGCCCCGCCTCAGGCCTCTCCCATTGGCCGAGGGCTCCCGGGCTCGCCTCCTTCCCCTCTTCCGCTTGGGCCTCCAGAGCCTGCGCCCACCGTCCGTCTCCTCTGCCGTCAGGGGCTTCGTGACGTCAGAGCAGACCCCGCCCACCCAGACCCCGCCTCCCGGGCCTCTCCCACCGCTGTCAGTCCTGAGGGGCCGCATTCCCTTCACCCCAACAGAGGCCTCTGCAGTAAGCAGATGCATCTTGCCCAGTGAGATTAGAACATCTAGAACACGGAGGTCCAAGCTGAATGACCAGCATTTAGGCTCTCTTGGCTTTTTATAGCCATTGGAGCCTAAGGACACTATGACAACCTAACAGTAGGTTGAGAGTGGGGCTCGATGTTTTCTGCCCTAATCTTTGGCCAGGTCGTCGAGTAAGGGTTCTCATGGTGAGGATAGGTGGTTCAGGGCCATTCAACTGGTCATTTCTGTGACATAGTACTCTCCTATGAAATGTAAAAGTCACATTTGCAACTTTCTCGGCCACTGAACACGGTAACAGTCAGTTCATAATCACAGAACAACTGACGCTATTCATTCACCTTTTTATCCCCAATCCCTAGCACTTTGGCCCACATGACAAATGGGTTGTGGAGCTGTCTATATATTAATGTAATAAATCTGTGACAAAGGAATTTTTGGACAATAGCACGACCCACTGTCTGTTGGAAGAGAAAATTGAGGATCTGGTATTTACTTGAAAGGACTAAGTGTTCAACATCATCTTCTGGATACTCACCCAGAAACGTACACTGTTAATGTAAGATGGAAGTAGAACTGTGTTTTTAGCTTGCATCCCATGTACAGTGACATAGATCTACATAAATCAGAAATGATTCCACAAGGATTTCTCAAGCCTTCCCCACTTCATTACCTTTTCTTTGCTCTTGTAGCACTTTTTATTAATTTGAGAATTGTATATGTTTGTTGGAGAAACTTTTAAAACACGAAGACATACTCATTCAACAAACAATATTCATTGACTATCTACAATGTCCCTGGCATTAAATATAATAAACAGCAGTGTTTCAACTACTCAAATTTCAATGTTGTTAACATTTAGGTATATTTACTTTGTCTTTCTTTTTAAGGAATGAAAACTTTACAGAAAAAAAAAATTGAGGTTTCCCTGACTTTTACTCCATTTCCATTTCCCCTCCCACTTCCCCAGGGGTAGTCCTACCTTGAATGTGACATGTAGCTTCCAGTATATTTTTAAAATTTTTAAGTTCAGGGGTACATGTGCAGGTTTGTTACATAGGTAAACAGTGTTATGGGCGTTTGTTGTACAGATTATTTCATCACCCATATATTCAGCCTAGTACCCATTAGATATTTTTACTGATCCTCTCCATCTTCCCACCATCCACTCTCTGACAGATCCCACTGTTTGTTGTTTCCCTCTGTATCTATGTGTTCTCATAATTTAGTCCCCACTTACAAGTAAGAACATACGGTATTTAGTTTTCTGTTCCTGCATTAGTTTGCTAAGGATAATGGCTTCTGCCTCTATCCATGTCCCTGCAAAGGACATGATCTCTTTTTTTATGGCTGCATAGTATTCCATACTGTATATATACCACATTTTCATTTATCCAGTCTATCATTGATGGGCATTTAGATTGATTCCATATCTTTACTATTGTGAATAGTGTTCCAATGAACATACCTGTGCATGTATCTTTATAACAGAACAATCTCTATTCTATCTGGTATATACCTAGTAATGGGATTGCTGGGTCAAATGGTATTTCCACCTTTTGGTCTTTGAGGAATTGTCACACTGTCTTTCGCAATGGCTGAACCAATTTATACTTCCAGCAACAGTGTACAAGCATACCTTTTTCTCCACAACCTTGACAGCATCTGCTATTTTTTGACTTTTTAACAATAGCCATTCTGACTGGTGTGAGATGGTATCTCCTTGTGCTTTTGATTTGCATTTCTCTAATGATCAGTGATGCTGAGTTTTTTTTTATATGATTGTTGGCCACATGTATGTCTTCTATTGAAAAGTGTTGTTTACTCCAAGAAACTCTCGATCTTGGTGATGCAAATAAGAGGGCGGAAAAGAGAAAGTGAAGTACCTTGGCAGGCTGAAGAAGAAGCTAACAGCAGCCAAAGGGTGTCAGACTGTTTACTTGTTTCTAAGCATCAGAAGTCAAGAACAAGCCCCACAAGAGCCTCCTAGACACGCTGTACATAAAGCAAGTAATACCTGCTCTCTAAGCCAGAGAAAAATGGAGCAGTTTTCCAGCCACTGCCTTCACGGTCATTCACTTTGGACAGCCCTGCATGCCGTTTCCATGGAGTTGCTCCTTCTCTGGGGCCAGTGATGCCAAATCCAGCAAAGGAGAAGTCCCCTGAAGAGCTCACAGAAGGGCAACCTAGCAACCTGTCCTTGAGCCAGGAAATGAAAGAGCTATATCAGTGACAGACAGCTGCGGTTTGGGGGTTAGGTTAAATGGGGTTTTATTTCTCATGCGTCTTCTTCAAGCATGACTTGAAGAAGGAAGACCTTATGATAAACTCATTTGAAAATCTACAGAACTGTGGACTCAGAAAAATGTCCGGAGGCCAGATTCTTTGCATACAATTCTAGGAAGGACCTCGGGTCGGAACCTGTGCTCTGGAGTTACATGTCATGACAGACATGCCATGGACAAATATACCAACAGCAGGCCCATTTACTTGTAACCTTCAACGACACAGGTGGTGTTTAGAACAGTGGTTCACGAATCTCCCTACACCTCAGAATCAACTACAGAACTAGTTAAAACTACAAATCACACTCTTCACCCCTAGTCCTAGTATATTAAAATCCCCCAGGGGGAAGGCCCAGGAATCTGCATTTATTACAAGCTCTCCAAAATGACTCTGAGGCAGCCCACCTTGTCCTCATACTTTGATTGATTAATAGCATGAGTTCTGGATTCAGAGACTAGGTCCAAATTTTGGCTTCACCTTGTAACTTCAGACCAATCATTTTACCTCTCTGAGCCTTGCCTCCTTTGGGTTTGCAAAGGGCTGTAGAAGTCATGTTGCTTTTATAAAACAGGCAGCTTGTCGTGTTTAAAACAAACCAAAAAAAAAAGTATTAACAAAAAACGAAAGAAAGAAAAGTGCCAAGAAGAGTTTCCACTTCTGTGCAATGGGCACCATAAAGGCTGCCTCCATTTGCCCTCAGCCCTCTCCCCACTACCTCCTCACCTTCTCCCTCACCACTATCATCACATTGAGACTGCTATTGAGATGGTTTGAGAGTACCCGTGCAAAAATGCTCTCCAGGCAGCACTGCAGGGCAAAGAATTAGCATCTGGAGAGCAACAGAGGGGTGCTAAGTTGGATGCTTCACTCAGGGTGAGATACAGGGCAAGACTCGTAACCTCTCTCTCTTTGGCTCAGTTTCTTCATCTGTGAAATGGAAACAACAGTCCTTGCTCACTAATTCTGTGCAATCCCAAGTTGGTCCTCCCATCCTGGCTTTGGTTTTCCCCCACTAACCCTTAATCTGACAGAATAGAGGAGTGTTGGCGAGGGGCAGTCTTTGAAGTCAGACATGTTGTCTTGGTTGTGAGCTCTCAGCTCTGCACTTCCTAACTGTGCTGTCTGGGTGCTTCAGTCCTTTCCTGTTAAATGGGCACGTTGCTACCTCCTTCACACGGCTGCCGAGAAGAAGATGTCCTTGCAGGCGCATCTGCACACAGAAAGCACACAGGAAACGCTCTTTCCCCACTTCCCTCTATGCAAAGGTGAGGAACTCTCATTGTTCACTTGGTTTCTGTCCCACCTCGTGTTTAAGGCATCCGGTCTCAAAGGCCGGATGACCGCCAAGGTGGAAGGGGATGGGGAGAAGGGAGGCCACGGGGTAGCAGCAAACTCACGGGTGAAAGGGAAATGGGCCCGGTCCGCGCGTCCGACCTGCACTTGACGCCGCGCCGGCTCCCGCGCCTGTCTGCAGCAGCCCCCGCCCGCCGGCTCCCAGCTCGCTACTCTAGCCAGCAGCAGCTCCCGGCCGGAGGCTGCGCGAGGAGGCCTTCCCTTCGCCCCACTGATTGGCCGCGCTGCCCGGCTCGTCACGCTCTCACGCCCTTTTGTTTCGGTGGGCAGAGACTGAAAGCCACCGCGGCTGCCCGGAGGGCCGAACTGGAGGGTGGGCGCAGCCGTGGCTGCCTTGGGAACCGCGCTGCCCCGACTCGGCTACCCCTCGCTGGGCGGTCCTGCGAAGCACTCGCTGGGTCGGGCGCCCGGGGTCGTTTAGCGGCCGCGGAGGCGCCAGCGATCCTGTTCCCCTGCAGAGCTACGGGGACCGGAAGGCGTGGAAACGGCTGTGGACGCGGGAGCACAGGCTGCCCACCAGTGAAGCGCAGGTAAAGAAAGAGCGCGCGATTGCCCTGCGCGGAGAGGGGTCGGGGAAGCGCCGCCCCTGTTTGGAGGATCGGTAACTGCGAGGCAGGGCATGGAGCACTCCCGTGGCCTGGTTGCGCTGAGGAAGGAGTTGTGGTTCACCTGGGTAGGCTTCAGGATTTGCCTGGATTGAGGTGGGCGGCGCTGTTGTTGGGGGTCGGGGGGCGGGTGGTGTTTGGAGAGGTGGCAGGGGGCGGGAGGGGATGATCGGAAGCTGTCTTGAACCCCTGCTGCATCTCCTCATCTCTTCCTGGGAAGGACTATGGGGGGTGGGAGATGGTCCAATTTCTAGTCTCTCTCCCTGTCACATCATCAAAGCCGAGTCCGAACTTGAATTCTGTGCGGCCGATTGCACAGAGCTGGTAGGCGGACGGTTTTTCCGAGGAAACGTAAGGGGGTCGGGGGGAGGGGGCGGTGCGGGAGGCACTTTGCCTTCTGTTTAGAAGATGGGAGAGGGAGTGTTCCACCTGGTGACAGTGGAGGCGGTGGAGGGGAAGTATCAGGTTTTCGGATGAGGCTGCTTCCACTCCTTCGCTTTCTTCCTTTGTGGCCCAGTCTTGAGTCCCTGAGGACTGGGATCTGCGACCCCCAGCGAACAAAAGTCGGCCGTACCCCAGAGGCTAATTTTCTCGTGGCAGGCACCTGTTGAGAGGCTGCAAGTAAAAGAAAGGCGAACGCTAGTTTCCGAGCTCACCTAAGAATCTGAGAAATAACAGGGGAAACGTTGACAAGGGGGTGTGATTGAGATCTGAGGCCATGAGGTTAATGGGTTATTATTACCTCCTTGGCAGAGGTAATAAAAGGGAGGGGCAGGTGGTCTTTGGCGTCTTGACAACTTTTCATGCATTATTTCACTGAGAACTAAACATTGTCAACTCTAATATATCTATAGCGCAAGTTGCATCAAGGACAGTCATTATTTTCATTTAATAATTTTCTATTTAATACCTTTAGTATACGGTCATTTCTGTCTCTTATATTCCTAGGTTTTCCTTTATAAGGATTAGTCAGATCAACATTGTATCTCTAACAATGTCTATTAGCTTTTTCAGTTTCCTTATACCTGGAGAACTTCATGGAATAAACCAGATTTGTGTGTGTGTGGGGGGGGGGGGTGTAAAATTACTCAACATTCAAGTCGTCTTGAAAAAAAGATGGGTAGGAGTCACCTTGTATCTCTTCGTCAGTCACCACTGTTCTCTTAAACTAATGGAAGAAGCAAGAGATATTCCCAACTACAACTCAGAATTCCTGTGTCCTATGGGTTCAAATGTGTCCCTCCCCTCCAACACCACCAAATACATCTAATGAACTCCTGACTTCTTGCCCCTCTTCTACATGAAGATAGGTTCTTTACTGGGGTACTTAAGTGAAATTACATTCATTAGGGTGGGCTCTAACCCAAAATGGCTAGCGTGCATTGTGCCTATCAAAAGGGGAAATTCAAACACAGAGGTATGCGGACAGGGAAAAAAATGTGAAGTGGCATATGGAGAAGTGGGCCATCTACAAGCCAAGGAAAGATCCCTGGAAGAGATCCTTCCCTCTTACTGCTCAGAAGGAACCAAGCCAGCTGACAGTTTGATTTGGACTTCCAGCCTCCAGAACTGTGAACAATTAATTTCTGCTGTTTAAGCCACCTGGTCTGTGGTATATTGTCAGGTTAACAGAGCAAACCAATAGGGATTCTGTTGCTAAGCAGTGGAGTGATCTGATAGCCAACACCTGAAAGAGTGGGAGCAGCTTTGGAACTCGGTTATGGATAGAGGCTGGAAGCATTTTGACGTGCATGACACAAGAAGCATAGAGTGCCTTTAGGAGACAGCTGGGAGAAATATGGATGCCAAATGCAATTCAAGTGAGGGTTAAGAAAATAATTATTTGATGTAAAGAAAGGATCTCTGACTTAGAGAATACACATATCATGGTCATCAGTATGTTGCTAGAACTGTGACTGTTAATGGTGCTTGTCATGAGTTTTCAGATGGAGACTGGGAAGATTTTATTGGAAGATTAAGGAAAGGTGATCCTAGTCTTACCGTGGCCAAAAATTGGGCTGTATTGTGTTCTTGGGCTTTATTGTGTTTCTTGAGGAAAGTAGAAATTGTAAGTGTTGAACTTGCACATGCAGTTGACTTCTAGTGTTTGGGCACAGAGCACAGCGCCCCAAAATGAAGGCCCAGTAGTAGTGTCAGATGTAAAGGGCTTTCTCTGATGTTCTGGGTCCTCCTGTCTCTCAGTCCCATTCTGCCCTAGGAGCTAACTGCACAGAGCAGAATCCCTCTTCCCCCAAGGAGGGTCCTAGAAACCAGAAGCCCTTTTTTCTAAAGATAGTTACAAAACCTAAAAATAATTTTCTGATTTTTCCTCCACCTTTTTTGTATAAAAGTAGCCATAAAGAAATGACCTACCCTACCTTGTTTGACTGCAAGTTACAAGACCCCCATTACAGAGAGGGTCCTGCCTTATACCCAGGAGGGAGAAATGTGTGTTCAGAGAGACCAAGCACAGTCTAGACAGGCCCTGCCAGATTGGCATTAGATCATAGCCTTTTTGTCCCATCATATTTCTACAGAGCTACCCACACTTTGTTGAACCTAAGCATACAAACAATTTCCCCTGTATATTTCTGCTTTTGTTCTGAAGGCTGCCATGTATATACGCTAAATAAATTTGTATGCCTTTTCTCCTGCTAATCTACCTTTCGTGAGTTGATTTCTCAGCAAACCTTCACACAGTTTGGTATAGCAAGCAGGGTCACCAAAGCCACTCCACTCTTCTGGAACCTCCAGTTAAGGGAATGCAGGAACCTGACAAGCTGGCAAAAGGGTAAGAATTTCTTACCAATTAGACTCTCAGTTTCTCTCTCTGTACAACCCAGTCAGGCGAATGGTACAAAACAAATCTCTCTGTTTGTCTCCTCTATGAGGTATTATGCCTGGCAGAAAAAAGACTTTTGTATGATGAATCTGGTTGTAGCAACTCTGTTATACCTTACACTACTTTGTGATGTGAATATTCTTATTTTCAGATCCCTTTCCTGCCAGAAGCAGTGTATTCCTTCGTCTTTGTATTTCTGTGTTGTTCATAGAGGGTTATAGGATAAAGTTCCCTCTCATCTTGATCTGTGTCCTTGAGAGCTTTATTTGTGAGCAAGAGGAAGCACTCCCTCTTGCTCTCCACCATCCAGGACAAGTGATTTTTGGGTCACGGTGGCAGGCGTCTGGTCTAACGAATCTCTTCGCTGGGAAAAGAAGAGATCTTATTTTGTTTAGAATGTGCCAAGCTCTCGGCAGAGTTTGTCATTAGATGTCCCATTCTTAAGGGGCTTTTGTCATCTCAAACTTTATTGGCTAGGGCTAGGATCACCAACCCATAATCCAGGGACCGGCACAGGTCCGTGGCCTGTTAGGAATTGGGCCGTACAGCAGGAGGTGTGCATCAGTGAGCAACAGAAGCTTCGTCTATATTTACAGCCACTCCCCGTTACTGGCATTACCGCCTGAGCTCTGCCTCCTGTTAGGTCAGCAGCATTAGAGTGTCATAGGAGAGAGAAGTCTATGGTGAACTGCACATGCAAAGGATCTTCAGTTGCACACTCATGGAAATCTAATTCCTGATGATATGTCACCCTCTCCCATTACTCTCAGATGAGATCGTCTAGTTGCAAGAAAACAAGTTCAGGGCTTCCACTGATTCTACATTATGGTTAGTTGTATAATTATTTCAATATATATTACAATGTGATAATAATAGAAATAAAGTACACAATTAAGGTAATATGCTCGAATCATCCCAATACCATCTCCATAATGCCAGTCCATGGAAAAATTGTCTTCCAAGAAACTGCCAGAAAGGTTGGGGACCACTGGTCTAGCTAGTGAGTGCTGGCAAACCGCAATCCTGTGAGTCATTTGTTATCTTAACCTATGTAGGAGAACGGGAGTCTTTGGGATTACTTCTTCTTTGAGAAGGCTATTGCATCCAGTTGCTATTGAAATTTAGTACACTATCGAGAATTCTAATTGTCAATGGCCAAAAGATCGATCCTTTAAATTAGCCTCCTAAATTTTGTTAAAAGAATTTTAGAGATTTCTTATTCTAACTAATTGATATAAAGGTTAAATATGTAAAAAGACACATAATAGTGTGACAGCTAGCCTTAAAACTCTTCTTGGCAAAAGAACCAAAAATCTGACCTGAACAAAGTTAAACTCCTATATCTGCTCAAACTGCCCCTGTGGGAATAACAACAAAGGCCACTCCACCTTTTGGCCTTTGAGTTCAAATTCTGTGCTTTCACCCTGATGCCATGGGTTACATTCCTTGTCAGGAAACCATCCCCTCTCGGTTTAATGTTTGTGTAACTTTTGGGGAGTACTGATTTCTCATGGGCACTTTTCCCTTCTTTGAATAAGTTTTGATTTCCTGTCTTCTTCCATTTGTGGTGGGAGCTCATGAGGCCCTTTGGCCATTGTGTGTAGATAGCTGAGAATCTGAGACCCTAGAAAATTTGATGGTACAAATATGTGGTTTTATCTTCAAGGGGTAGAAGAATGCCTGGAATGCATAGCTTGCCATAGTTGGGGGTAGGCAGGGTTAACCACAGCCTGCTCTCTCAGCACAACTGTGCCTGAAATATGAGCAGTGTGGAGAGTTGGAGACTCAGACAAAAACAGGTGTAGGAAAGACTCTTCAAGGGGTCAAATGCACTTCCCTAGTCCCTGTTTTGTCCCACATCACAGTCCAGGTTCTTTCTGCAGAGGGAGCCCAGCTGAGCCTGGAGTCCAGGCTGCTTCTGGGAACCTGAAGACCCCAGGACACAACAGTGCCTTGGGGACTTTTGAAGGAAGCAAGTGGCCAAGGGTATGGAAGTCATGTGAAACCCTCG